TGACATGTTTTCCAGACGGTTATTTAATGTCAGCAGTAAGGTTTCATACATCAGTGATGAAAACAGACTGTGGACATCAGTGAAGTTTCAACTGTTAGTGGTTGCTGCAGGCTGAATGCTGACAGGTCAGAGGTCTGTGGACACTTCAGAGCTGCCTGCAGGATGTGACTGACAGTTCATCAGACCAATAGGAGAGCAGCAGAGAGAAACCCCGCCCCTCAAACATCTGTCCATTTACTGAAAACTGAGATGTGTAAAGGTAAACTTGAAGCCACAAACCGAAAATATGAACTATAAATCAAAAGACAAGCGATAAAAGCTGTGATTTAAAATGCAAATGTTTTGATGAACAGAAAATCTTGGGGGAAAAATCAATTTCTTTGCTTTCATCACTGTCTTCTTAGTGGATTCATTTAACTTCGCAATAGCTTTCACACATATTAATGGATCAAATTTATTGTTGAGTGAATACATACAGTTTATAGATTAATCAATTAAATAGAAAATAGTAAAAAATGTTTACAAATTTTCCAGCCTATAAACAGTTTATATTTGAAAAAGTGGAACCTGTAAATATTTTGAGTTTTGCTTGAAAAGACGTTTGTCATTATTTGGTTGTCAAACTTGGAGTTGATTAATTCTCCATTGATCAACCAATTGATTAATTTACTAATTGTTTCATCCCTATATCAAAATATGTCTATTAATTTGCTGACACACTGCGGTCAAGTGAAGTTGATCTGATCTAAATTGAAGGTCGACTGTGTTCTATTAGGAGTCGTGTTGTTAAGACGTTTCAGTCACTGATCTAAATGAGACACTTTCAATGTGCGCACATCCATTTACACCTACACAAAGAAAATAAATATTCATTTTGACAAAGCACAATAAAAACATTAACAACATATACCAGTAATAATGAAACACACAAACCTCCAGTTTGGTTGAAGCGCTGCTTTAAAATTTCAATGTTGGCTTTGAAGTTCTGCTGTTCACCCATCAAGCCCCCAGTCTGACCCTCCAAATACTTTGGATCATCTTTTGTTACTTTGTCCATCCAGTCCTGTTTGGGCACTGCTTTCCTGGTGTTGCTGTCATAGTGAACCATCTGAATTTCATCAACCATCCCAACAGCCACAAACTCTGGGAAGTTTGGGACTTGAGAGGACCCAGTGTAGAAATACTTCAGAGAGTGGGTCACTGCAAGAGAAAGTTAAAGTTGTTTCAGAATTACAGCTTTAAACACTGCACAGTGTGAACACTTCTGATAGTTTTGTTTCATGGAAAGCTGCCTACAAAAACATTTTCTCTGTTAGTTATCTCAGTAAGGTCAATCCCCAGTTTAGTCTTCAGTTAGCGGAGACGTTTATTCTTCATCATTGGTCTCTTATGGTCCTCATTACAGTATTTGTTAGACTCTGAGTTTTCATTTTACTTTCAATATTCACCAAATTCAACAAACCTTTTTTATTTTTTTTATTTAAAAAAAAAATTAGATTGTTTTTCAGTTTATTCAGATATAAATCACATTACTTCCCCCTTTTAAAGTGAGCGTCTTTGCTCCAATAACTTACCATTTTTCATATTAAAAAATATGAACAAAATAAATGTAATTATTTTGTCACTGTCGGAGATTTTTGGATTTAAAATATTTGAGGACAGATTTATTTTATTTATTTTTAATACAATCAACAATGAGAAATATTCAAATCACACACTTCCATACCTTAACTTCATACACAGTTGGTTTTTATAATTTAGGTTTTATTCCCAGTCTGACCAGTATTTTTTTTTTTATTTTGTTTTCAATATTTTCAATAAAACATCTACAATATTAAAGAATATTGAAGATAGTTTTGTGAAAGTTTTTGAAGCAATATTTTTTAATTTTGCATCTTTCATGGTCATGTCTTTTGATTGGTGATAAAATACTGACACATATTTTATGTACTTAAATTCCTTTTTCATTTCCTCTACCATGAGCTGATCTATATTTGCTGTGCGCCATGAAATACTATTCTAAAAGTAATTTAAATTTAAAAAAATAACAATCATGAGCGTAAAAAATAAATGAAATAATTGTCAGAAGAGTTAATTATTCAAATGATTGTTCACTCCAGACTCTGTGTTCTGCTGTTTGAATGCATGTACATCATATTATTGTGCTTTTAAAGATTCCATAGTTTGTTCGTTTGCTTTTATTGCCACTAAAAACACAAACTGAGCAGAAAGTTTAACAATCATCTCATCATTTGTCTCTGGTGGCCACACTATGAGGATGCTGTTTCTAAATTAACTCAAACCTAATTTAATATTTCTGTTCTGTGATTTCTTGTTACCGATCACTGCTGATACACATTTATACCAACATGTCTACAAGGAGATAATATCACCATATACAGGATATCAGAGACCAATTATTGATCTAATTCTACTAAACAGCGTTTTATTGTAACTTTCAATTTGATGTAAATGAACCAAACAACAAAAACTGTAGAATTCTCTGGAGAACAACTTAAAATCTGATTTAAATATTTCACAGTTGAATAAAATATATTGTGTGCAAACAATGAATTAAGTTCAGTAGCTTGTCATTGTGTGCGTGTGTGTGTGTGTGTGTGTGTGTGTGTGTGTGTGTGTGTGTGTGTGT